CCTAACTGGACTGACCAATGTAGCTGTAGAACGTTCATCAGGCGCCTGTACTTCAGCACAACATACGCAAATGGGTTGGGGCACAACTGGTGCTAATGAGCTCTTCGCATGAGTAGTCATTTTATCTTCTGATTGTCCTTGTGATTTAGTTCGCCGAACTGCTTTCGGCCTCTCTTGGGCTCGAGTACGACGCACTTTTCTCGGAGGACTATCCTCCCTGATTTCTGTTGCACTATGAGACCTGCTGCTGAACGCGCTCTTATGTCTGTGACTGATGGCCGTGTGATTCATTTTGCGTTCGCTGGTATAGTGCGAACGGCTGTTACCGTTTACAGGGTTGTATCCTCTGATGCCTTCATTCGATGACGTACCCGAACGTGGAAATTCGGAATTATACAAATTCTGACGAGAATTCGTATGGTTCGATTTATCATAACCTATACTATGAGTATCGGAATTGTTGTCATCTGAATAATCCACGTTACCGTTCATGGTACCTTGACTGTTCTCATCACGATCAGTGGGCGATTTCTCAATTGGCCGCTTTCGTTTTCGTCCTCTTTTTTTGGGTAAATTTCCAGATAGAGATCCGGAACTTGTACTCACGGTGGACTGCCTCAAATGTACTTTAGAAGGCGTTGATAGTTTTTCATCCGCTGAACTTACGGGAGATGGTATTCCTCCAGTAGCACTTGTTTGCGCAGTCGTCTCATCGCCTGCATTTTTATAATGAGGCGGTTGTATTGTTGTAAACAAGTCTATTTTATTTGTTTCGGTAGCATTTGCCGAATCTTTAACTGGTGTCTTATCGTTCGATGCTGCGTCGATCGAACCCACAGAAAGCGATGATGGACTTTGAGTACCATCAACAAAATCCGGCAATGGACTATTTAATAAATTATTAATATTCGAAGTATAAGTTGTAGAGATATCAGTATGTCCAGATGAACCTATAGTATTGTCGTCCGCTAAAGCCTTTGAAACAGATCTAATTCTATCTTTATGTACACCATTTGCGTTTGCATTTCGAGCAGACTTGCCGTTGGCCACACCATCAACCTCCATATCCTCATCCGATGTGATAACTATCTCCCTATTAGTGTCCATATTTCTGCGTATCGGTGAATCAGCATCGTTCTCAACACTGTCTTCAATAGAGATGACACTCTCAGCTCTATCCAATTGATCGAATGCAGGATCCTTGGAACCAGACGCTGATGCAACTGACGCTTCAGACGACCTATTGAGAATGGCTGTTTTGCGTGGCCTACCTCTCGTTCCGCCCGTTTTTCTTACTCTCACCACCTTATTTTTGTTTGTAGATCCTCGAGGCCTACCTCTACCGTTTCTAACAGGCTGATCTAAAGTTGACCTTGCTTTACCCTTTACGTCGACTATATTGCGCCGCCTTCTGCCTCGTCTTTTACGATAAACAATTTCAGGCGGAGGTGATTCATCAGGCATGCTGAGACCAAGTGGATTTAAAATGCTAATGTCTAGTGAATTAATGTCTATGGATTTGGCTATTTGTTCTCCCCTTGTTGTCCAGACAAGAGGTCCTCCTGATAAAGCTATAAACTGGCTTATTATGTCGTCATCGACGTCAGCAATGTCCGACATTAGA